ACCATTAGATCAATTCTATTCTCAATTAGAGTCCATGCGAAAACTTGCATTAATTTCTTAGATGGTTGTGATCGTTTATTTTGACATCAACATGTCTTTAAAAGAAAATATTGGAAACTTAAAACAATTCTAGATCTTGTCGAGCTCTACATTTTTCATATAAAAATTTTATTTTCGTCTGAGTTTATATGAGAACCTTTTATTTTCGTAAGACACATTGTCCAAAGAAGAAAAATTCGATAATTAAATGGACAAATGAAAATATCATCATTTCAATTATGATATTCTCTAAATATTTTATTAGGGCAATTATTTTAAAAAAAGTTAATACTATGTTTAGAAATTCCTTTACCACACGAATCCATTGACACATGTCCATTACGCCCGGTCCAGCTAACGATGACATCATCAGTTTCTTCGACGTCCCCAATTCTTTGATTCATATACATGGTGCCGACTGCCAGGGAGGTCTCCTCCCTGCTGGGTGCCGGCGCTGGCCTCGCAGTTGCCGTTTTTCCAGTTTCGTCAGTCAGTCCTTTTGCCCGAGCCTTTGGGTTCACGCACGCATCGGTTGTTGACCGTCCTTTAGGTTTAGCGCTGCAAACGTATAGCAGCACAGTTCCCCTGCGTTGTCGCTGTGTGTTTGCGTGCGTACTGTTGGGATTGGGACAAGGACGACAACTGCTCCCGGTCTTCTCCGCGGCCAAGGCTGGCCGTCGCAAGCAAAGACCATGGTGGAGTAGCTGCTGCCTGCTGGAACAAGGTGGAGCAGTCAGGCCTAGGTGGACAGCACCACATCACCAAATCTCTTGAATGGGTGTAGGGGTTAAGTGGCCCAAGATGTATTTGTCCCATTCCATGCCATCCTTTGAATGCTATAAACACCTGAAACCATCTTTTGTACCCTGTTTCGCTTCGCTAAAATTTGGCTTATGCTGATGCTTATGTTGAAATGCTTTTTTTTTTAGCGTGTGCTTATGCTGAAATGTTGTGAGAGGAAAACACTGTTCGTTCGCTGAAAAGTACTGCTGAAGTATTGCAGACTGTCTCTAGAATTCTAAAAATAGTGTTCTCCGCGAGGGCCCCTTTGAAAAGTGAAATACATTATAAAAACAACACATCAATAGGAGAAAAAAAGCAGGAATATATGATAGAATTATTACAAACAAAACAGAAGAATAAGGGAAAGCACAGGAGTTTTGTTGGAATATATGTTTGGATAAGCGGCAGGAAATGCAAAGAAAAGTCTCCTATGTTTTTCCTGCAAATAATAATTTTTAGTAGTTTCTTACGAACCAAATGACGTACAGCGGGTCTGAAGCTTGTCTGTTGTTACCTTCTCTCCATCAGAACATTCTTTATATCATTCGTTTATAAAAATGCTATCAACATTTATACCTCTAAATAGATTTATCATAAAATATATTTCACGATTAAACTAATAATACTTAATTCCTCTCAGTATAAATATTATCATACTTATATATTATATATATGATTAAACTTAAGATTGATTGACTCTATCTGTTTCTTTAGACTGAGGGAATACTATATATATTTTTCGTCGCAAAAGAAATACTATATAGTACATTCATTCTGATAGCAGATAGCGTGCTCAACCACGTGGAATCCTGGGTAGAGCAATGATGCCCTTGCGCCCAAGCGACAGGGGTCATCGTCGTAGTTTGTTGTAGTAAGCTCTAATTCACGTTTCCTCGCAAAAAAAGAAAAAATAAATAATTCAACGTCGCAGCCTTTTTGGCTTTCACTAATAAAATTGCCCGTGCTTTATAACGGGACGCACGTCTTAAATGGTCCTAAATAATTTATAGTATATAAAGAACTAATGATCACATCATGTATTTCAATTAATTGTGCGATTCTATTCTATATCATAGTTAGACACGTGTTGCTCATATTTCATACTCATGTTGTCAATCCCTGAATGCTCGTGCGTCACAACGGGGTTTATAGCTTGTGTCATCGTTCTAACGCATTTTAGAATCAGACTACATAGGTTGGTTGGACATACGCTATCCAATTCGCATGAGTACAAGACAAAAAAAAATTGTCTCAAAAAAAAAGTACAAGACACTTAAGTAATTAACATTTTAATCTCTAATTCATCATATATACTAAGGGCATGTTTGGCACAGCTCGCAATAGCTTCATGAGCTGTTTTATTTGATAAACACTCATTTTTAAAACAGTTTCACCCATAAAGCTGTTTTTCTCCCCCTCTCACAAAGACATGAGTTGGGATAAAGCTAAAATAAGTAGCTTATCCCAGCTCTTTTCCTCATTTCTCTCTCCTATCTATGCATGAAGTTGTTGGTAAAGCTGTTTTACCAAATAATTTTTCCAAAACAGTTCAGCTTCACCTAAAAAGTTATTCATGAAGCTGTTTTCCAAAAAAACCATCTTTACTAATAAAGCTGAGTTGTGCTAAACAGGCCCTAACTCTAAGTAAAATTAGCTGGCAAACGAACTGTATACCAAAGTGACGGGCGGAAGTTAGTAGACAGACAAATCTAAAAGGAAACACACAAAAAAAAGCTCGTGATTTCATTTTTTTTTTCTTTTTTCTTATTTTATATTTTATTATTTATTTCTCATTTTCCTTATCCGGTCGCTCGGTGTTTATATCTTGCGTCATCGTTCTAATGCATTTTAGAATCAGACTATATAGGTTGGTTGAATATACGCTGTCCAATTCGCATAAGTACGGCTCACAAGTACAAGACATTTTTTTTCATATCAAAAAAAGTACAAGACAATTAAATAATTAAGATTTTAATCTCTAATTCATCATATATTACTAACTCTTAGTAAAATTAGCTGGCAAACGAACTGTATACCAAAGTGACGGGCGGAAGTTTAGTAGAACAAAGCTAAAAGGAAACACACAAAAAAAACTCGTGCTTCCATTTTTTTCTTTCCTTTTTCTTCTTTTATATTTTATTATTTATTTCTCCTTTTCCTTATCCGGTGGCTCCCATCCCCGGGATCTCGCGGCTCGCGCACCATGATCTCGGTTTCTTCTCCGCCGCCCCATCGTGCCCTCTCAGCCAACTACCACCGCCCCGCACCTCCCGTCGGCACGCCACCCCTCACAAAATTTAAAAGGAAACTACAATTCTTTTCAGCTGGGCTATCAGTATACCCATACTCATGAGAATGACGGAACAGAGAAAACATCAACAGTTAACAATCTAATAATCTACAGAGTAAAAGTGCAGAGATCAGCTCAGTCAGGGCACTCCTTAAAGGGTGCGTTCGCTGGTCTAGAAAAACCAGACCAGCCGGCTGCTTCTCCTCACAGGTGCATAGTTCATCAACCAGTCGCTACAGGGTTTCTCTCTCATAAAATCAGTCAGTTTCAGCCAAGCTTTAGACCAGCGAACGTCAATAATTAAAGGAAAAAAAATCATACCAAGAACTCTCTTGTAGCTGCAACTATATATAACGCATGCCTGGATGGTGTACTGAAAGCAAGATGTTTCGAAAATGCAGTTGAATTGTATCAAAGGATGAAGAAGGAACGCTGCTGAACTAACACTGAGACGTACGCCCTAATGATCAACGTATCATTTTTCGTTGGTCAGGTGCTCTGTCAGTGTCATTCTGAGAAACCAGTTTGTAGAAGCTTGATATTTTTTTTTGGCTGCATAGAAAATAGAGATGCGAGTTTTACTGATGATACCTTGATGGCCTGAATGTTGGTTTGTGGACCTTCCAGTAGGCTGGGGACTACGTGGCTACACTTCATCTGACGGTGAATGTAGTGCTTTTTTCTGATTTACCTTTCTTATTGACTAAGGAGTCTAAGTGGCTACACTTCACCTAAGGTGAAGAATTTTCAAATTTTATCTGGAGCCCCCTACATCCTTCTGGCAAGCCTTACTCGTGCAAGTCCGAGGCCTGCCGACCAGTTTGCTTTAATCTTCACCGCTCAGATTATCAGTCAAAATGGTCGGCTTTAATCTTCACCGCTCGTCTTCATGATAAACTCCTCGGACTTGATCAAGACGGCGTCGCCAAGCGGATATAAGGCGTTCGGGGACTAGCTGTGGGGGTATAATCGTCGGTATCCACATGACAAGACATGGACCGCACCATCAGAGGTGGTCCAACCCACAAGATCAAGACGTGTGGCGCACGGTACTGGTCGACATGCACCGCAAGGCTACAAGAAGATATTGTAATACCAAATAGGATATTTTTCTTATAACTATACCCCTCCAAAATATATAAGGAGGCGCAGGGGTCTCCTAGACGATATATCGAATCTGATACACAATCAATACAAAATAACAGAGCATAGAATATAGGGTTTTACGTCATGCTGACGGCCTGAACATGTATAAATCTTGTGTCTTGTGTCTCTGTTACCATCTAATTCGTATCACGCGCACCTCCACCAATTTATTTTTACCGTGGTCATACCCTACCCCTTAGTAGACTGCCGGCCGTATTTTGTCCACGTACGCCCTGACGGAGCTGGACGCGCGCGGGACCACCCGCTGGTCGCTCCTGTTGTACCACGTCGGCCCGAAGCCGCCGCTGGTGTGCAGTGTCACCGGCCCGTGCACGCTGTCTTCCAGCGAGCTGTAGTGGTGGCTGGTGCTCTTCTGGTTGGCGCGCAATGGCGAGGTCCTGAGCTGGCGCGGTGCCCTTGGAGTCGTCTCTTCCCGAACTGACGGATACAGAGCCCTTGCCTCCGATGCCCGCTGTGTTTTGCCTGCTGGCCTCCTGGCCTCGGAGCTTGGCGTCGTATTCCTTGCAGGGCGGGGGTACTTGGGCAGGCCCGCCTGATCACACGGCAGCGGCTTGGTCCTCGCTGTCCAGGCCACCGTGCCCCGTGCCGACGGCTCGATGGCGAGCAGCGTGTCCAGGAGCGCCAGGGCAGTGGGGGGAAAGTCCTCGAACGTCTCGGCGATCTTGCGCCAGTACGGCCGCTGTGGCTTGAAGAGCGTCACGTCGGGTAGCTTCGGCTTCGCCTAGTAGTCCTCGGACAGCGAGCCGCAGAGCTTGAAGATCCTGTGCAGCTGCTCGATCTCGGTCTGGCCGGGCATGATGGGCTTGCCCGCGAGCAGCTCGGCGAGGATGCAGCCGGTGCTCCTCAGGTCCACCGCGACGCGGTACTCGGTGGGGCCGAGCAGGAGCTCCGACGGGCGGTACCAGAGCGTGACGACGCGGCTGGTCAAGGGCTGCGTCTTGCCGGGGTCGAAGAAGGTGGCGACTGGCGAGCCCGAAGTCGGCGATCCGGAGCACACCGTTGTCGCCGATGAGGACTTGAGGAGGTTGGAGCCCTTGATGTACCGGTGCAGGACTCCACGCGCGTGGCAGTGGCGCAGGCCCTCGAGGATCTGGCGCATGAAGCACTTGACCTGCGGCTCCGTGAAGCGCTGCCCGGACAGCGCGGCGAGGCCGGTGAGGTCGTGCTCCATGTACTCGAAGACGAGGTAGAGGCCGTGCGAGAGGTGCGAGGTGACGATGCCTTCCAGCTTGATCACGTTGGGGTGGTCCAGCCGTCGGAGGATGTGGATCTCCTGCAGTCCTGCGCCATGAACCGCACGCTCTCTGGGTCCATGTCGACGAAGCGCACCCGCTTCAGCGCCACGATCTTGCCGCTCTGCAGGTCCCGCGCCTTGTACACGTTGCTGTACGTGCCCTGCCCGATCTTGTCCAGCCGCTCGAACGTGTCGGCACGGCGGGGCAGCCACCCTCACGATCTCTTCGGCGACGGACGTCGGCCAGGAGGGCCATCCGGCGATGACGTGCTCGCCGGAGAACCCCTGTGGCACGCTGGAGATCACCTGCTGCGCCTGCGCGCCGCCCCCGCAGTCCGCGGTCGCACTGTTGTTGTTCCCGCCGATGTCCACTGTGGCGCACCGGTGGTGCTTGGGCGCCCCCGCGGGGGCTGTAGGACTTGCTGAGGGACATGATGACCACCACGGGAGGCGCGGTCTTCTCCACGGCCTCTTTGGCCGGAGCGGGCGCGACGATGCCGCCGTTGGCCTTAGCGTTGGACTCCATCCGAGAGATGACGGCGTGCACGACGACAGCGTCCTCCTCCTTGGCGGTGAGCGTGATGAGCTGCTTGAGGGACCGGCTTGACGCCTTCTGCAGGTGCGCCACGGGGTGCGGGGCGGCAGGCGGCGCCTCCACGACGCCCTCCTTGGAGCAGAGGCCGCCCATCGCCGATGGACGGAGGCCGCCGCTAGCGTTCCCGCCAAATCGATGCCGGCGACGCATGGAGGAACGAAAACGCGCTAGGTTGGACGGCGGGGTTCGACGCCGGCTCACGAGTCACGACGCGTTGGAAACAAGGATGTGGTGGCGTAGGCGGTCAGTATGGCGAGATGACGAGGGACTGAGGTAGAGCTGCGACTGGCGATGGACGAGGGACCGAGGGCGTCAAGGGCGCGGGTCAAGGCGCGATCGCGTAACTGGCGGCGCGCGGTGATCGCGGGGTTAATTCCGTGGAGCTACTCCTCCGTTTGTTAGGGTGATTGATTTTTTTTCCTGTGGAACCGCTCATCTGGTTGTTACGTGATTGATGATTTGACTTGCCTTGTTGTCCATGGATTTCCTTGCATGTTGCGCGGGGGAGCCGGAGGGGAAGAGAGCGCGAGGGACGCACGGTTTGTTTCCTTATTTTGAAATCAAGGGAGCGAGGTTTGTCGCAAGGGACGGGTGTACGAGCGAGAGGTGTGGGACCATAGCAGGTAAGGATGGCAACGGATCGGGTTTGGGGCGGATATCCGCGGGTTTCGGGTTCTGCGGGTTCGGGTTTGGGGCTGGTTTTTTCACCCACGGTTTTCGGGTTCGGGGCCCCGAAACCATTCGGTTTCGGTTTCGGGTTTGGTTTTCCACCCGTGGATATCCAATGGATATTCGAAATAAATCATTTGGAATTAAAACTCATGTTTTATAATATACTAATAATAATTTGTTTACTTAGATTATTAAATTTATTTAAAGTTGACTCATGAAAATATTTATTATTTGTTGCCTCTTGTTTATACATGTGAATATGTGTATATATATCCGCAGGTTTCGGGTATCCGTTCGGGTTTCGGGTATTCGCGGGTTTGGTTTTAGTGATGGATTTCCACCCGAATCGGTTTTCGGGGCGGATTCGGGTTTCGATTTCGGGTTTCAGTTTTGGGTGCACGGAGACTCCACCAGATCCGAACCCGACCCATTGCCATCCTTAATAGCAGGCAGAATCATGGACTTATGTTGGAATGTCGCACAAAAACAGTGTTTCCTCTTTACTTTTTTTTTTTAAGTTGTGAGAGATATATACAGAGGGAGGATGTCTTTTGGTGGTGTACTGTTTGCTGAATCGTCTCTTTCTCTCTCTTGCGCTTTCGGCTCGGCAGCCGCACTGCACTGCACAGTCTGCCTCCACTCCACTCTCAACCTTTTGTTGTCGCCTTCCCCACCTTCCCTGTTCTCCCTCCCTCGAGCCGCAAAAAACGCTCACACACTGACTGACCCTTCCCGCAGACGCCGCAGGGAGGGAGAGGGTGGGGGCCAGGCCGAGCTTACCGGTGGCGGCCGCGAGCTGGAGAAGAAGGAAGGAGCATGGCCAGGCCGGCGGCGCTGCTCCTCTTCCTCGTCCTCTTCGCCTTTGAGGCCGGGGAGCTTCCACGCTGCTCTGCCTCTGCTGCTGCAGGTACCTCCAAATCCGCTTCCTCCCAGGTAGGTTCTTGCTTCTTGCTTCGGTTCAGTTGCTGCTCCCATCCCATCCCAACCTACCCGCTCCATGGCGTAGCTAGCTGCTAGCCTCCTAGGAGCCAGGGGGAGCTTAGCCAGATTGAGCCTACAGTGCCCAGTAACTGTTTGCTCCAATTTCCCCGCGAGCAGATCTTAGTTAGGCCACGCCAGTCACTTGTTTGCTGAATTGCTGCTGCTAGCGGAGTACCACTTCCAGCTGCAGGCATTTCAGTGATCTCTCTACCTGTCTTCACAAATTTCGTTTCTTGTTTGGAAATGGAGAACAGGCTGCAAGCTACCACTACCACTCACATAGTCACATTAATGTAAAGGGAACGCATCCATTCTCTCCCTTTCTTTCTTTTTTCAGAAATGGGGTGCCAGGATAAAGGGACTTGCTATATTTCAGGAGAAATTCAGGCAATAATCCTTCACAATCAACTAGTACAATTGACAACTCACAAGAGACAATTCACAATTTTTTTCCTTCTATTCTATAGCCAAACAATGATAAACTTACATGTTGCCTGAACAACAACAAAGAATGAGGCACCTTGAGATATAGGAGAAGTGCATGATAATTCATAGATGGACATAAGAGTTACTACTAGTTAACCTTGGTTTAATTAATTGGTGTTACTTCGTCAGACTGAACTGATGAACTCAAGCACAATCACTGTGCTGTGTTGTGCAGGTAAACCAGCCGTCCTCGTGCACGACTTGAGTCCGGTTCAGGACACCAACCCCATCGCGACAGTCCCCTCCAATAACCCGACGCCCACCATTATCACCGTGCCTTCCACGAATCCCACCATCACCATCCCTTCCTTGAACCCTCTGCCCACGCCCATTACAGCCCCCTCAACAAACATCCCTTCTCCTTCTTCCACCATGCCGCCGCCGGTTCCAGTCATATATCCGCTGCCAACGCCGTCAACCTCCTTCCCACCTACCGTGCCGGTCACCAATCCTGCTGTCACCACACCTTCCACGTCCCCTCCGTCCACACCAATACCATTCAACAACCCACCGGTGTCGAACCCGACACCGACTCCTGCTCCTACAGTCACAGCTCCGGGTGCATCAGGCCGGCAGGTCTGGTGTGTGGTCAAGGCTGCTGGCTCAAGTGACCCCGCGCTCCAGAATGCGTTGGACTATGCGTGCGGCATTGGTGGAGCAGATTGTTCAGCGATTCAGCCGTCGGGGAGCTGCTACTATCCGAATACCATCCAAGCCCATGCGTCCTATGCTTTCAACACTTATTACCAGAGGAACCCTGTGCCTTCCAGCTGCGACTTTGGGGGGGCAGCAATGCTCGTCACTGCTAATCCGAGTAAGAATGTCTTCCTCTTCTTGCATTGGTTCCAGCTGAATCATCCTGGTGCGTTTCCTTTCATTTTAGTGTTCTGAGCAAGTGAGCAATGTTATGGCAATGACTTCATTGCAGGCTCAGGGAGCTGTGTGTTTGCATCATCAGCACTATCATCAAGGTGGGAATCTAATACCTGCATTGTGATAACTAACACGGAACCATTGCACATGTCTCTGGCAATGATGAATGCACTCATATGTGAAACTCACGTTCTATCTCCGCAGCTCTACTGCTGGATATGATCCTGCGTCCATGACTAATCCATTGTCATCGTCGTCTGGTTCCGACTCGGGAGCACCGGTGCTGAATGCCAGCGGGGCAGGTTCTTCTGAATCATCAGATTTCGGCTTCGACATCCCAGGAGCTGTCAATTTGGGCAGCGGTTGGAGGTCAGTCTCGCCACCCAACTGGCCCTGGGCAGCTCTGGTCTGGATTCTAGTAGCATTGTGTGTGCACAAAGAAGGGATGGCCTGACAACTTCTGAGAGCAGCTCCAGTATTTCGGGGACAGATTGCAAAGTAGCTAGGTGATGTAGAGACTAGTAGAGAGCTAAAAAGCTAGAGAATCAGGCATTAGCATGACTAAGTTCGTCGATGTTATGTATGAAGTATACTGCTCCAGTTAGTAGTAGGAACTGGGAACTAATGTAGTCCTGATGGATGAACTTGCACTCACTCTGATCTGTCATTCAGTACTCAGTAGTGTAGATGTAGGCATGTAGCTGCTGCTGGTAGTTGTAATGCAAGTACTGCTTTGCCTCTTAGGCCTTGTTTAGTTGGATGAATTCGGTGCCGCCGGATTCACTGCAGCGCACTGTAGCATTTCATTTGTATTTGGTAATAATTGTCCAATCGTTGACTAATTAGGCTCAAAACGTTCGTCTCGCAAAGTACAACCTAATTGTGCAATTAGTTTTTGATTTCGTCTACATTTAGTACTCCATGCATGTAGCACAAGTTTGATGTGATGGGGAATCTTCTTTTTGCATAGTGCCAAAGTTGGGAGTTGGGAGCAACTAAACAAGGCCTTATTGGTGAGTCAGCTGAACAACTAATGGAATGCAATGTGTCGTTTTGTTTTAGCTGCTGGTCTGCGACACAAAGGAATGGAAGGGAAATCTCTAACCAAGGCACGCGTAAAAATGTTAATATCGTCAATAGATTAACATGTTTGAATCCATAAATGTTTCTGAACATAATATACAGCTTATTGTACATACTAACATCTGCAATAGCAATTTCTGCATAATTAAAAAGCGAAAAGGTCATTTGCTATTCAAGTTTAAACAAACACACAGGATATCTTATTTATTACTACCCTATTATCTTGCACCCTATGAGTTTGAATCCAAATTAGAAGAACGTCCCCTGGAAAATGGCACGGGAAAAGGACTGCGCCAAGTCTGAAGCCAGTGTTGCAACATGGACAGGCAGCATTGAACACAGTGGAAACCTGTATGGATCGTAGCCACTCACAAATCAAGTGGCACTCAAGTTGACATTATTCGTGCTATGCTGGCTGCAGGCATCTAACTTGAAAAATAATTGTCACCGCTTAGCCATAAATTGTGTAAAAAAAAATCCATGTCTTGCCCCTCGTAGTACAGAAGAGAATGCTGCTGGTTTGCTACCAGAATGATCAACGTGGCTATTGTATTTGATCTCGTAAACACGAAGGAACCAGAAGAGGCAGCTCCAGCTTGCAATTGTAAGATTTTGTTTATTTGTGCGAGCAATTTCAGAAGGATAGGTACCCTTCCGTTTTAGGAGCCATGTATTGTGTGATGATCCGCTTTCTAATTGTAAATGACACTTACAATATGTACTTTGTCATCACTTATATTTCATTGTTACTAGGTGAGTGCCCGTGCATTGCAGCGGGAGAACATTGCTAAAGCATTGTACACAAGTCTAATGTGCATATCCATTTAAATAACTTAACTATACGTGACACACATGCTCACAAATTTTTCTCATATGACAATGATCAAATCAATTTGCTCATAACAGTGAGAAGAAATGGCACTGCCATTCTCTGAACTAAGAGTGCAATGAAGCATCTAAAGTTCGGTTATCAGATATAAAGTGCAGTGAAGCATCTAAAGTTCAGTTATCTGATACAAAGGTAATTTGAAACTTTCAACCAATAACTAACTAAATATGTACAAAATTGGTTAAATTAACCATGTCCAACTCCAGAACTATTTTGAAATTTCTTCCAGCATGGTGTTATGGTTGCTTTTGGTCCTTGTTCACAGCTTCCAAACATTCGTTGGCATCAGTCTTCAAATGGGTCAAATACTGCCCCTGCTTGTCTCGTTGCAAAAAGAAAAAAGGTTGTGAAGTCACGCCACCCTGCCCGTCAGATATGTGGTAGTACCAAACATTGCTGGTCCTCAATATCACAAGGAATATCATATTTGTTGCTTATTAATGCTCATGGTTGGTGAAAATATTCTCAGTTCACTCTCGCCTTTATTAAAATCAAGCCATCCAACAAACACATTCCAAACTGAACTCTCTATGTGAGTGCCGTGGTTTAATGACCATGCAAGATTTGTACAGGCACAAAATTCATGTCTACCTACCCTATAGCTCAATTCAGAAAAGGTAGCAATGCTTCATTGTTACACCCTCAGATTAGTTATGCTCATTATCGAATTAAGCACCGTTGATACCACGATGTACTGTTGACCCCACGCAGATGGACCACTCTAAGAGAGCAAGCAAAGAGAAAACCAGAGTAGCCAAAGCTTGAGGAAGACATAAAACTCATTTCCCCTCTTAATTAAAAGGCACAGCTCCTGCCATCTTTTTCAAAAAAAAAAGCTTGAGGAAGACATGCAACTTAACCTTGATAAAAAATTGATGTATATGTATCAGCTGTCTATATAAGCATGGATTAGAGCTATTCATACTCTGTGTCCATGTTTTTCATCTTAGTTTTTCAATGCCGCCTATGAAATTAGGGCAAAAGTGCTCATGAAAAGGCCTAGAATAACTTGAGGGGGAAACTCATGAGCCAGGCAACCCATGCATGGGAGCGGGGAGCACATCCATTATCAACCAAGGTGATTCCACAAGTCAAAAGTACACAAAGAGTTCACTTCTAGCTAAAGGAATGATATAAGATAGGAATTTCCTTGATTTTTAATACAATCGCAAAACTTTATGAACCACACCTTTTCAGAAATATGAAAATTTTCTAAACCTGTCCAATACCAACAAATTCAAAGTCAGCAGTGTTTTGTCAGTTACCGACCAATCTCCTAATGAGTCGGTGACCATCCCTGACAGTTTCAAACTGGCACATTACCTTCAGTCTTATGTTTATATTGGTAAATGCCAAAGCGTTGCAATGGGAGCCACAAAAAAATGTCAATATTTTGTCTTGCCCGGATATCCTCTTCAAGCGGGAAAAATCTGGGTTCATGTTTAAGTATAGCTAGATGTTTCTGTAGCCAGATATGCTAATGGCGATTACTTCATTGAAGTTGTTTGGCAAGTATTTATTAGTAAGTGAACCAAAGGCAGTAGTAACATTTCATATCTTAAACCTGAAAGAGAAAGGTAAAGAAAATACGTTTATTCAATATCTATAGTCCTTTTATTCTCAGACAAGACAATACCTTTAGAGCTCATGAATCGATGTACAGGATAGATTATAACATATATACAAGGAATATAATATTGACCTATTGATGTATAGTGAACATTATTATTAATGTATACTGATTTGTGTAAAATTTATAGATAAACAAAAGAGGGATATAACATTTACATATATCTCGAGTTTGATCAGAATTACCCAAAAATAAGGTAGCATTTAGTAAAGTAAATGCCATCAAAATTGTTTTGATGAAAAAAACTCATGATTGCTTCTACTCTTATATGATTGAGCAGTGCTCCTGCATTTCGATAAAAATGTGGCTGACAGAGCAGCAAAAAGGGTAAAAATAATTGTTCTATTTCATAAGCTCATGCAGATTGAAATGCGGAAGAAGGGAACTGGTGCAAGCGGTAGAGTCTTACCTTTGTGACCGGAAGGTCCGGGTTCGAGTCGTGGTCTCCTCGCATTACCTGAAGCGAGAGGTAAGGCTTGCCATCGACACACCCCTTCCTGGACCCCATACAGAGCGGAGCTCTCTCTGACCTTAGGCACGCCTTTTTTTTTATGCAGATTGAAATGCAATTTCTTATCTGTAATAAAACTATGCTAAAAGAAATTAACTTACCTTTGACAAGATCACACAATTGTTCATTTCTCAAGGTGCTTTGCTTTGTATTCCCTCCCAGGTTAAGCTTCCTTAATGATATCACCCCCCCCCCTCTTCTTTCACAAATGCCTGGTAAGAAAATATCAAACCCAAATTACTCAAAAACTAAAGGAACTGAGATGTGAGAGCCTGTATGCATAGAACAATACAACGCTGATGATGCAAGCAGGGGATGATTTACCCGCATAGGCTGAACAATCATTTTGCCTGAAGAGTCCAAAGTATCTGTAGCGTATGTATCCTCAAAATAGCTGCCATTCAAAAACCTGTTAATTCTTTATACCACCAAGAGGAACCATGGAAGAACGTGATGCTTCTTCTCAGTGTCCATGACAGCAGTCTTGTTACCCCAAGATCTTGATCTTGTTTAGGTCATCTCCACCTCGACGATCTTCCTCACATTCTCTCTGTCACCGCAGCATTTGGAGTACCATATCAGGAAGTAACATATTCTGTAACCACGAGCTACTCCTTTTCTAAAACTTCCCAACCCCATTAAGCAAGCACCCTATCGTCTAAGTGCGGTAGATCCGTTTTATCAATCAGAGATTAGCTAAGAACAGCACATATCACCATACTCTGTATTTGTAAATGCAAGATGTAATTTATTAATACTATCTATCCTGGCATTAGATCCTTGTAATTTTTCCATTGACAGAATAAAAAGAAGCATCAATTAGGGTTTAACCAATCAATGATACTAAGGTAAAAAAAATGATATGTTCCTTGTACCAGCAATAGGAACATTGTTTAGTGTGTTTTTGACTCATTGCATCATTAACTCTGGCAATGCTGGTTGTTGAATTGGGGCTGCCAGAGGGCAGCTTGGCCAACAGGCCGCTTGGATTGTATTGAATTTGCAATGACAACTTAGATACAAGAAGATGCTAACCACTGCATATATAAGCAAGTGGTGTACCTACTCCTTAGCATATTCTAACTGCATAAAGCAGATGCTATGATTCCTACTTGGATGCCAAGGCACCATGATCAACTTAGTTGCCAAGGAACCTGAAAATTACATAACAGTGAATAGTAAATAGTTATAGTAGGTAACTGGAAAACATGAACACTAGGCTAACTACTGACAATTCTCCCCTTTAGCCTTGTGGTCCTTGGAAGTGATCTGCTTGAGCCCAATTCTTTCCCTCATCTCTTCAAATTTTGATCTTCCAAGAGACTTGGTTAGAATGTCAGCCAGCTGATCAGTGGTGGATATATGATCAGCCCTGATACTTCCATCTTCCAAGCAGTTTTTGATGAAGTGATACTTGATTAGAGCAAGTGCAGACTTGCTATCAACTTTCAGTTCAACCACTTCCACATTCCTTCCAAGGAGGTCTGCCAGCAGCCTGGATAGCCAAATAGCTTGTGTTGCAGCTGTGGTAGTGGCAATGTACTCAGCTTCACAACTAGATAGAGCCACCACCTTCTGCTTCACTGACTGCCAGCACACAAGATTGCTTCCCAGAAAGAACAAGGTGCCACTAGTGCTCTTGCTGGTGTCAGTGTCCCTAGCCAAGTCACTGTCGCAGTACCCAACAAACCTTGCTCTCCCTGGAGCCTTAGTGTAGTGCAGGCCAAACTCCAGAGTACCAGCCACATATCTCAGGATGCGCTTGATGGCATCTTGGTGTTCTGCAGTCGGCCTCTCCATGAATCGACTGACAAAGCCTACTGAGAAGGCTAAGTCAGGTCTTGTGTGGACCAAGTAGCGCAAGCTGCCTACCAATCTTCTGTATTGGGTAGGATCAACTTCTGCAGCCGTGCTCTGCCTGCTCAACCTCAGCCGCTCCTCCATTGGTGTATGGGCAGGGTTGCAGGCATCCATACCTCCTAGCTCAAGGATCCTCTTGGCATAATGGGTTTGCCTCAGAGTGATCCCAGCTGGATCTTGGTGTACTTC